TAGAACACAATAATTGAAAGGAAGGACAGAATCTGAATGTTCTGCCGCCGCCACTTCTATTTAGTATTTATAGGTTATGCTAGTTACATGAAAGGACAAATCTGCCCTTGGTATTTACATAACACATAAAACAATATAAAACTGAAATATAAATAACAACTGGAATAACAGATTGACCATTAGTTAACCCTAGGATGATTAGGGCACATTCTACCCTACGGACAGAGTGGGACCACAGCTGTGGGGCCCACATCAGTGTTCTCTACAATTATATTAGAACTAGTGTCCCTCACTTAAATAAGGGCACATGTGTCTTTTCCATTATATTAATAATATAAAAAATGTCTGGCCGAATGGGAGAGGCACTTTTCCCTAATTCGAACCAGACTTTTCTTCTCTCCTTTTCTCCTCCTTTCTCTCTCTCTCTTTCTTCCTTCTTTCTTCCTATTTCTTCTTGGCTGTTATCAGACTAACAGAACTCAAAGGCAGGCCGAATTATAAGAGTAAGAAACTAGGGTCTGCAGACAAATATCATTATAAATCCTTCTAAGCAGTGTGGCAACCCCATTGGCAATCTTCTTGCTTGTCCTTATAAATTCTCTGAATAATTGCAAGAACCATTTTTTATTAGATATGTGAGTACCAAACAGGACTGCACCTCATGCAGTCTAGAAGGGCAAAGACAATCCATTCGAAACATGAGTTGGAAAAAACAGCATTCGTCTCTAGTGATGTGGCAAGGCATAAATGACTTCCATTCCCCTCCCTTTTTGAACCCCGAACTCACCTGTTTACCTTTTGAGTTAGTGAGATAGTACATATTGAAATAACAGATTCTGGAAAAAGCTATTGCAGATGCTCCTGGACCAGTGTATAGCAGATATGATGCTTCTATCTGTAGCAAGCATTAGGTAGTATCCGATTGTGGATATGTGCCATATGAACTCTTAGTCTTAAGGAAAAATTATCTAAGGAAAAGCTGTTTGGTGATGCAGGTTCTTTGTAAAACACCATCAGTACCTGTAAGGGAAATGAGAAAATATAAACCAATCTAGGATTTGAATAAAATTCATCCGAATCTACTGATAAAAAAAATAAATAAATTAATTAAATTCATCCTAATCAGAATCAGACTGATTATTGATCAGTTTTCATAATTCAGGGTCTGCCAAGCATGTGAAATTTTGTTCAAATTCAAGAAAAAGAGAAGCAGAATCGATGCTCCCTTTTTCCTTCTAGAAATCAAACAAGATATTCCAACTTTCTTTATCATGAAGTGTCTTCTTGATGCTCTGATAGTTTGTGAAATCTTGGGCTTTTGGAAGTTACACATATAAGCTTCTATTGATTCTCAATGAAATCTTTCATGATTATGTAATAATCATCATCAATTAAACCTTATCCCAACTATTTGGGGTTGGCTACATGAATCCTGTTTAACCATTCTATTCTGTTTAGTGCTATATCCATTGTTAAATTATGAGTGCTTAGATCATTTCTTACTACTTCAACCCATGTCCTTTTTTTGCCCGCCCCTAGAGGCCTAGCCCTTCTAGCCTGTTCAACATGCAACAGACCGCTTCTTATGGATGCTGTAGATGATACATGGATATTTTTCTCAGTGATACACAAAAATTTTCTGAATTGTTTAAATTCACTATACTAGCAATAATATATTAAGTCTTGAGGTATTTAACTCAGGAACCAGAAAGTTTTCAGCTTTAGTGTTAAAAAGAATTATGTAATACATTGTGTGAGATGCACATTCAATGCAAAGAAATATTTATTTTAAATATGATATTTACCCAAGATTATGCTGGTGAGGTACTGACTTAAAAATATACATTTCTTTTCAGGTGTCAATCGAAGATGTGATGAGAGCAATTCATTTGAAATCTTTTGACTATCGAGTTCTGAATCTTTTGTTATATAAGTTGAGAGGAAAACCGGTAATTTTCCTTTTGGTAAGCTTGGCTGGTTAGATGTATTAAAAACTATTAGTAAAGGTCCCATGATAAGATAATTGAATCTCCCCGTCCTCTTGCAATGTTTCTTAATGTTTATTCATGAAAATTATGCCTATAAAGATTCTTGCAAGCTTTCCTGCTAACAGATATGACGTCATTACCCTAAGGATCCATTTGGTTCAGTTCGAATTGGAAAGGTCTATTCCTCCTGCCTGTTTGGTTCAGACTGGAATCGAAATTGGAATCAGAATCTGTTGGAATGGATTCTCATTCCCAAGGGAGGGGGAGGGAATGGCCATTCCCTCAAATGTGGGAATGCCATTCAACCAGGAATGGGAATGGGATTCCGGTTCCACCCAACCAAATGGTTGGAATTGGAATGGATCATTCCAATTCCAGACCCCTATTCCTGCAAACCAAACAGACCATAACATCAAACTACTAAGATTTTTCTTTTGAAGTCCTTTATTTTATATGGCTTGTCATTTTTCTTTCAATTGAAATGTAATAAAATGATTATGCAACGTTAATGATTCAGTGAAATGTGTTACTGTCTTGTAACTGTTGATGTATAAACTGAAACCAGGCTGTTTCTGCTTCTGTCATGTGTCTTCACAGGGTGGAAGTCTTTGCCTCTTAGAAATGGAAGACACTGCCTAATGAGTGTTATTAGAGTGGTTTAGATTTGGCTTAGAGCAATAGTGTATGTGGTGAATTCTCAGTGAATTCATCACATACCAAAATAAAACCAATAAGTGTATCAGAAGCAGACAAGTGCAACATCCTGTGGTTCTTAGTGTTGCATGAACTCTCCTAAATGGATGATGTTTCCATGTCAGACACATCTTGGAGTCTGACACTGATTCTTGAAGACACTTTTATGTAAAATTTCCTATTTATCTTTTAGTTTATTTGACATAAATGAACAACTTATGTACAAGATAAATGCTATTTTTTTGTATGAAACATTACTTGGTAGCAAAGGCAAACATTTTGGACCTTCACAGGTATATAATGTTAGAATTCAAAAAATGTTTACTATTTTAACAGTATATACTTTTCCATTGATATGTCTGCGAGTCCATGTTTTCTCATCTTGCCAAGTCAGACTCTTGAACATGCATCATATTTTGATTCCTGTGTCCATATTTGCATCCATGCAACACTGTGTTGAGTTCCATGAATATATCAAGCTATATTCTTTTCAACTTGATCTCCAGAACTAAAATGAAGATAATGGTCCCAAGTAATGCATATCTATTGGTCATTGCCTGCACTATCAAATAGCTGTAGTTCTTTTTTCTCCTTTGCATTCCTCTTAAAGTGTAAATTTTGCTTCATTATTTAAATATCCTTATTTGTACGACTCTTTCATCTTGTTGCAATTATGGGTTGTAGATGGTTTCCATTAAAATCTGGAGTCAACAGGTTTAACTAATTGTTCCCACTCTTCATCTTGGAGCATAATTATGCCTCTATTGTTGAATCACATGGATATTTATGAAATATATATATTTCTATTTAGATGGATGCATTCTGCCAGACTACTGTTGTTGATAATAATGTCTTTCTTTGAAATTTCTTTTTAGGTTAATGACTTGCATATGGAATTTTTATCAATCTCAGAATTCCTTGTTGAAGTTTCTGATGACTTGTGAGTACATTCCTTTGCTTTCCTTGTCTTTATTTTTTTCTTTGAAATTGCTTCCCCTGTCTGTCCCTTGTATTATTAATGTTGCTTTTTTTTTTTTTTGTGCATGCATATTCTTCTGGTGTGCTTGGACTGATACTTATTCATTTCTGGATTTGGCATGATTGCATTTCTTCATGGACATAAGCATTTGCAATGCACATATATGTATTGTCTTCATGCATGCTGTGGTATAGCATGGATGCTGCAAGATAAATATCTAAATAAACATTTTCTTTTAAAATTTGTGTGTTCTGTTGAATTACTAATCTTACCATTTCTCAGTAATGTACCTCATTTTCTAATCCTTTCTTTGTTTTCTTTCTTCTGGGAAATGTGAAATATGGCTTATAACAAGATAACAATGGTGATGCTGTAGGTTTGACTATGAGGTGTGTCAACGTATTTACACAATGTTACCTTCTGATCTCCTTTTCTTTTAGGACAACCTTTCTTCTTATTTGAAGGATGATGTCATTTTATGTAGGATGATGTGACAGAGAATAATTTCAATATTCTGCGCATGTTTGTTCGAATATATGGAGCTTCAGCAGCACCAACTATGCTGGTGAGTAATGAAAATGATTGTGTGACTAGCCATCATTCCCTTTACATAATTCTAAAATGACTAGAAACTTTTTGTTGTTGGTGTCAGTTGGATGTCATTAATTCCTCTTCTTTGTTGGGTGAACAAGGGGTTACACAAAGCCAGGGGGTGGTAGTGAGGTAGCACTTCCCCAAAAGTCAGCAAAGCAAATATACAATAAAGCACTATTACTAGATAAACTTGAACTGAAGCTATTAGCTATGACAAATGTTGGCAAGCCAGTCAGCAGCCTTATTGGCTTCCCCATAAGCATTAATAAACTCATACTTCGATTCATGACTTATCCTACATCATTCACCAATGATATTTTCGATGTTCCAAGGTGCCTCTAGAGTTCCTTTCAAACAATTACAATGTTCCTATCACATTCACCAATGATACTTTTGGTGGGGTAGCACTTCCCCAAAAGTCGGCAAAGCAAACTCAAACTCAATGGTCCTTTCAGACAATCACAATGATCCTCCTGATTGGCTTCCCTATAAACATGAACAAACTCAAACTCAAACTTCAATTCATGACTTATCCTACAACATTCACCATAAGATATTTTTTATGTTCCAAGGTGCCTCCGAAGTTCCTTTCAGACAATCACAATAATCTTTGAATCCCTCTCTGAATAATCCTGTTGCCTGGAAAATTTAGAGCAAGTTTGTGAGCGTTATAAATTTATCAAACTTCTGTCTCTGAAAATTAAGGACATGGTGGAACAAAGCGTGGGTCTCTAACCAGCATGGATAGGACTATTTTTTTTCCTGGGGAACTGAAAGAAACCTAGAGTACCAGAGATCATGTGAATTCTCATGCACTTCAAAAGCTCAAAAATAATATCAGGACAAACCACATTAGAGAAAAGTGTATTTGCATTTATTTGTAGAAGCTGGATTCTAAACTTCTCCTAACCTTATTTTATATAAATATTTCTGGTAGGCAAAATGCATAAGTGAGGCTGAAGAGAAGTATAAACATCTATCCAAACTCTTGGATCCAGAGCTCTCTTCAAATTATTGGAGAAGATGTGAAGAGGCCACAAGAGAAGGTAAGTATTCCTTTGCATTAAGATTTGAAGTAAATGATAAAACATGTAATTTCCCTGGTTTAACCTCTGTAGTTTTAAATGTTAACTTTGTATAGGTGGGAAGCTGTCAGGACATTCTCTTGGAGCGTGGAGTATACCACCTATAATTTCGGATGAGGAATTGTACAGATCAAATTTATTAGGCTCTAGCTCTGCAAGTCTAAATAGACTCGCATAGTTTCATGGCAAAGCAAAACCTAGCTTTCAATCTCATGAAGTCTTCATCTAAAGACTTGGCAATCATCCTATCCACTGGTTTCCGAATGTCTAAAATCTTAGTCAAATGAAGATCTAGCATTTGAAAGACGTATCAGCTATGAAACTTTATAGTCTTTAACCCCATTAATTGAGGGCGCCCTTGGTGATGTTTGCTCAAGTTTCCCTATGATGCAAGCGTAGCCTATTGAGCCATCAAATCACTGATCAAGTATATGTAATTTATGGTGTGTATTTCGCAACATCTGTTGCTCACTTAAATCTTTGGGTGAGTAGTCTGGTTTAACTTGGGAAATTATTTGGTGAATGATTTGATCATTCCGTTACGCAGGTCCAATATTTACTCCATTATTACGAGTAGCCACGGTCCAGTTTTCTTCTGTCACTGTTGCGGGGACAAAACCTTAACAGTTCATTCGTGTTGTTTTTATTCCATTGCTGCTGCAATGAGCAAACTATTGATGGGATGAGAATACGTGTTACACTTCTCACCCATACTTGTACTAGACAGCCATGGCTTCGAGGGTAATAATCTCTTCTTCATTAAACATTAATGAAGTTTGCTCAAAGAGTTTGACAATATGAATGGAGTTTGCTCAAAGGACAAAAATTGTCAGGTCTTTATTAGCCATGAGACCCAAGCCGACCGACCTTTGTGTTGGTAAGCGAACTGCGAACCGACCCCTCATGCACAGAAGTGGGCAGGGAGGGGTTGCAATAAAGTTTCTGCTGGGCTCCCCAGCTACAAAAAAGTCCCTTTGCCTTGCAAACATGCTTTTTGCAATACTGATATGTTTGTTTTGTTTGATGTATTTTTTCACTTTCTATTTTTTCAAAATTCTATTGTTATTTTGTCCCAAGGACTATCAACTTCCTCCATCCATAACTTTAAAGGTAGCAGAATAGCAGAATAGTGATTTTTTGTACTAGGGGGGGGGGTACAGAGTTATAAAAAGACAACGAGTTTAAATCCAGAGGGGCATAAGTGTCATTTTAGGAATACTCAAGAGAAATGGATTGGGAACTTGCCATCAGATCACGATCCACGATCAGCCCAGAGTGAGAGGTGTTGATGGATCAACAGAGTGGTGTGTGGGGCCACACGTCGTTAATAGGAAACCGGTAGAAACTGTTCAGAAATCAGAGCAAGTGCCAAGTTGGTGAGGCCTGAGGGTGGGGTTGGTGGTTTTGGTTGGTTGCAGTCCCGACCACCCCTTCCCTCCGACACTTCCTTTTGTCTTGACATTGCAAGAGGAACGTGCACCCCACACCCACAGATTTCAGACTTGGTGCTAGGACTTAGGAGGGCCTAAATGGCAAATCAAAGCGTGGATATCATAGATGTTACCCAAAGGCTGCAGAATGCAGTTGTCCTGGTGCTAATCATGGCCTCTTTACTCTTTTATTATCCCCCCCTCAAGCTCTCATCTTACACCTACTTCTGTGGTCTACAGCTTGGGTTCTGCGCTTCTCTTTGGACACCCCCGATTCATCGCTTGAGGTTGAGGAAACTGATCTTTCTAGCAACCTAATCCAACAGAGTTGGAAGAAGCTTCATTTTTGTGTAGTGGAGGGATGATATGGCTAATCCAACCAAATTACCACATTGCCGATTTCTAAATAATTCGACTAACAAAAAACCCTTGCTCCAATTCATCCTGCAGGTTTCAACCCAAAATCCCTAAAAGATTACAACTTCAAATTGCTGATACAATTTATCTAAGCTCCAATACAGGTGGGCATAGAGATGATCATTCATGTAGAGGACACTTGTGGTCAACGTTTTAAAAAATGATTCGGAAATAAAACTGTTCTGGTCACCAGTTTCCGGGTTAATGGTCTGAAATGGATAGCCCGTTTTGGCAAATAAATTAAAAAATTAATTAAAAATAAAAACGGTCAAAACCGTTAAATGAGTTGACGGGCCAATAGTTCGACCACCTAGATCAATGGGTTGTTAACTTTTTCAACATTTTTTTTTTCTAAAATTAAGTTTGGGGTAAAACAGAATCGGTTGCTTGAACGATTCCCAGGCTGAACGGTCCGACTGTCTGAATCAACGGCAATTCAAAAACCTTGCTTGTAGTCAATCTATGATATTGGACACCCTTCGGATTAGCCATATGTTGAATCTGTAGATTGGCCACTCTATCATGACCGCCCTCTTTCAAAGAAACCAGTATTTAAGGAGACAACAATTAACTCATTGCTGCCTCATCTACTTACATTTATTTTCAAATAGATTGGAACTAGTGCTGGAAGAAGCCCCAGAAATATCGAAAAGATAAAAGGAAAAAGGGTCAGAGACTTGGGATCAATGTGCTATTTTTCAAAAACGTCTGTTTTTTTTATCAAGAAACAGCAATGATTCCAAATACCACCTTAAACATTTCCTTATATTTGAGAAATTGATTTAAACATACCCTGAATTCTATCACAAGACTTAAACGTACCTTGTTACCATTTTGATAGACAGGAAACCCACGCAGAATCCAAGATTAGGCAGAAGACATTTGTAGCGAAAGAGATGCTGAAAAAAATACCCAGACAAATTCTTTCTTCGCTTGTAAGTGTGACAACTTAGTTGTATCCAATAAAGAAAGAAGCCATACTCTTTTCTAACATGGCACAAGTGGCAATGCTGACTTTGTGCACTTGTTCCTGATGTAGAGATTGGTTGATCTGATGTAGCGGTGATTGTTAGAGGCTTTGTCCGGTACCAAAAGAATTGGTTGAGGGAGGAGAGGAGAGAATTCAAGCAACTGTCCCCAGAGGCTGTGTCCACTGTCCACGTTCATCTAATAACTGCTTTTCATTTGAAAGCTCTTTTTACAGCGGCCTATCTTCTGGATTGGGGTTTACTTTAAGCTTGGACCAATAATTACTGGTTTAACTTGTGTTGGTTAGTGGTTACACGGGTTTGCTTATGATCCATTCAAGAAAAATAATTTCCTTTTGTTCTTTTTTTCTCCACATCTTTGTTACCTCTTTGTCTTTGTCTGAATGATTTGTTGTTTCTTACACGCTTCTTGTGAATGAGAATGGTGACATATACAGCTTCAGTGTTTCAGACTCCAAATGTTGACCCCGGATTTGGAGAAAAAGACTTTGGTGGAGTGGGTCTGAACCACCATTGGATAAACATGTGCTCAATCCCAAACTTATGCTTCAAGGAAGAAATTTACAAGGTTCTTACTCCTTAATATCCGCTTCCTCTGCACCAGTTTGCTCCCCACCAAACGACCCTTCATGGCATTGGAAGGGTGGTGAAGATGATACAGGAAGTGGGTGTAGAAAACAAGCCCATGACTGGAAAGAAGATGGGAAGTTGTCACCGTATTAATATGAAGATACCTCCGATCAGGTTAATGCAGAACTTGGTGAAATGTTTTGCAGGGGCAAAATATTGAAAGAGAAGAGAGAAAGAAAAATGCTCTTCTTGTTCTTCTACTAATTTGAAGCCACTTTTTCAAGTCTGGATATCCTGCCCACAATAACTCTACCCACATCTACCCATATATCATCTTAGTCACACATAAAGAACATCTTATCCTCCTATATAATACAAGATGGGATCTGCTCCTCACAAATGGGTGCCTCGCATGCATGTCCGCCGTGCATTGAAAACATCTCCCGTGAATAATAATTAGTAAGTATGGGAGATGTTCCCAATGTATGGTAGGGTGTGCATGTGAGGCGTCTGTGAGGCGCCAGGTGTGAGGAGCAGATTTGGTCTCATATAATACTAGGCACGGGAGATGTTCCCAATGCATAGGAATAATGTATTGTGGATAGACATGGGCATAAGATCCGGAGTCCCTCTTTGGTGCTTGTTTCATTGGGGGAGAAGAAGAGGGGGAGTGAGAGTGGCGTGGCATTTGCATTGTGGGCAAATGAGGAGTTCAAATCAGCACACCC